TGAGCTGACGCGAGTTGAGTCAAGAATTGACATCACAGCACTCCGGGCATTCCCATGCGTGCTCCGTCCTCATCTTTAGCAGCCAGTGAAGATTTCCAATACTGATGGTACCCATCACAATCTAATTATATGTTTTATGATTACGAAGATGGCTGATTAGTCCCATATGAGCCTGGAAAGTTCTTGAGCAGTGCGGACAATAGGTGGAGGCCGCAGTAAGTTTGGGATTACGTTACTTTAAAAGCACAGTAAAGATAAAAACCCGTTCTTAAACTTGAAGAAAACAAAAATAACGCTCACGTAGAAAACTGGCTGTCACCTAACAAAATAAAAATAAATACTAAAGAAACTGAAAATGTCACAAACTGCGAAAATGTAGCTCAATAATAAACAGCAATGGAAACTTTTGAACAGAAATCTGAAGGAGGATGGTTAAAGCATTGATTAAAGAGCGCTAAAAGGTCTATGGTTAAACACCAAAAAGGAAATTGAAATTCCGAGAGCAGGCATCTTCCCTGTAGCAACATACAGATGCGTGGTCTATCTTGCTGTTCTCAGGTGAGAAAATATGGGCTTTTGAACTTGAAGGCTACATAAAGATTTTCAGAATACCATGAACAAAGAAAGCAAATGTTGACATCCTAAAAGATCTGAACATCAATGAAGATTAGCTATTAATCAGCATCGTGTCTTGGAAGCTACAGTATTTTAGCCATATCAAGCAGGACGACGGATTAGGGGGGGGGGGGAATAACAGAAGGGTAGTAACAGGAAGAAGAGACAGGGCTGATCAACACGAAGATGGGTAAGGAATTTAAGTGACTCCTTGGATATGGCAGAAACATGGCGAGAGACAGAATCCCTTTCAGGCAGACCGTAATGAGAGCGACGTGCTGCAAAGGACCTGCTACTAATACACGTTAATAAAACATCCGGAATACGATAAGGAATTCATTTTTTACTGACAAACCGGCACATTCCGTAGGTGTTGTGTTCAGCTTCCCGCCGGCTGCATTATCTGGTTCACATTTGAGTCTGAGTCGACTTGAGGGCCAAATTCATTATAATTTTTTTAAGGTGTGAATTCGAACTCAAACCAGAAAGTTAATGCAGTTCACATGTTGTCAATATGTTGGAATGTTATCTGGTGAGCTATTGAAGTTATGGTACCATTATCGCTTTTTTTAAACTCTGTCCTTTCTGTCTTGTTTCCCCCTTCAGTGTTGAATATCTCCCAGAACCTCTACACCCCCGGGGTTGAATTAGTCTTTCAGTGCATGGATTCACTATCTATTGCACTGTTTGTTTGATCCTATAGACCCTTCACTACATCTGCATTATCATACAGTAGCTCACCACCCAGAGGAGCGACAGTCTGCTCGTTAGCTCGCATATCGGTATACCTTCTTCTTCTGCCTTTCTAGCCCCCAATGGAGCATAGGCTCTCAACCAGCTCACGCCAAGTCGTTATATATTTCTCTAAAGCATGCAGCTCTCCCCATAGCCTCTGCATCTTTCTAACTTTTTTCTCCAGTTCCCTTCTTCATATGTTTGTTGGCCTTCCTTTATCCCTATACCCCTGTGGGTTCCAGTGCAAAGACATTCTAGTTATGCTTGACTGAAAATCTGTCTTGATCTGGGTCTTATCAAACTATGCAAGCCACTCTGCGCCCAGACACCAGTTTTGAATTCCCGGAGCATGCTCTGTAAGTCTATTACAATTACAACATGTCGGGCTGTACTACTCTCAAGCCAAACAAAAGCAGACTTTTAAGCAGGTTAGAACTGGTACTATTAGCATGTCAACTCTTCGCTGGCTACTGAAGAAGGGGACGGAGCACGTACGGGAATGTCCCGAGTGCAGTGGTACAGATTCTTGAATCATTCATTCATTCATTTGGTGGAGAAAAGAAAAAAAAAAAACGACTTGAATGTAGATATGTCTGATAAAATAAAGCTTCGAGTGAAGTTATTGATAACATACATATTAAAGCTTTGAGTAAAGTTATCGATAACATACATATTAAAGCTTTGAGTAAAGTTATCGATAACATACATATTAAAGCTTTGAGTGAAGTTATCGATAACATACATATTAAAGCTTTGAGTAAAGTTATCGATAACATACATATTAAAGCTTTCAGTGAAGTTATCGATAACATACATATTAAAGCTTTGAGTAAAGTTATCGATAACATACATATTAAAGCTTTGAGTAAAGTTATCGATAACATACATATTAAAGCTTTGAGTGAAGTTATCGATAACTTACATATTAAAGCTTTGAGTGAAGTTATCGATAACATACATATTAAAGCTTTGAGTGAAGTTATCGATAACAAACATATTAAAGCTTAGGGTCTTGATATGTCCAGTAAAGTAAGGCTTCGAGTCTTGATATCTACAGTATCTCTGGTCAAAATGGACGCTAGGCAGGGCCACTGTTTGGAGCCGAGGCAAATTTGTTGCTTCTGCCGGACGGTGGCCGATGCATTTTTGATCCATTTGTAGACTGAATATAGCTTCATCGCCTAGCTTCTGAGCTGAATTCATGGCGTGACACTGTGAGCTGTGGATTTCATTTGGAATTTTTTTTTACTGTGACCAACGTGGTGGTGTGAATTGTAGATTCAGAAAATGGCGCGAAGCCTGTCGTCGCAATGTTGGTGGTGCCCGTATGTGATTAAAATTGATCGCTTGGGCAACTGCTGATCTGTTGGTGACTTCTGCTACCATCAATGATGAACTGCAGTTCTAATGTTGGACTGTTTGTGTTAGCACTTCGGATGAATACCGTATGTTTTAATGCGTGTATATGCTAAATATGCTGAGAGAGTTGTCTGTCAATCTTTCCACAAGGGACTGTGATAAACATTATTGGCACAGGAGCGGGGCAAAGATGGGGTTACCCGTTTGCTTTGAAGCTGAAACTAAGACTACCAAACTACCAGATTCCAGTAAAGCAATAATTTGACTCCGATCTATCCAGTGAACTAAGACCTGGCTCTAGAAGACTCTCACGTGGTTAGTTTGAAGGTTTAGAGGTTTAAACAACAGATCTACATCATGGCACACGGGTAGTAATCCATAAGTGTTTCGTTCTTCTTCTAACTCAAGTCAGAGTCCGAAGAAGCTTAGCACAGTGCACAGGTTCTGTAGCACCTTCGAAGATCCTGCAATACTTTGAACAGATTTTAAACTCCAAATTTTGCCGGGCCAGCGCCGTTAAGCTACTCTTTTTGATTCCCAACTGACAAGGGATTTTTCTAAGTGCGCAAGAATGCACACAGGCGTCCGAGAGAATTACTAGATGTCCAAATCCACGTGAAAAATCCCAGCCCTTACCTGGGATTGAACCCGAAACCTTTAGCACTCGAGGCGGACACCACACAGCCCTCCTTCTTATGTGGAAACACGTTGCTATAAAACTGGTCCGAAACTTTTTCAGATTAGAATATCAGTCCTGCCGTTGTTGCACTACCTTACTGTACATATTGTCAGCGTTTCAATAGTTACCATACCTCACAGTATATATTGTCAGTGCCGTAACGCTGACACGTCTTCTTAAAGTCTATGCTGTAGGGCTTTGGTATTGATGTCTGTCCACAACCTTCTGTCTTGTGTACTTTTAGTCTTCTTCTTTCCTTCGCATGAAATAAATGATCTATATCTGCAATGTATGAATTTCACTGTCTTTTGTAATTCCCTAAGCGGCTCGTAAAGTTTGACTTCCACAAGTGTCTCTTTTGGCAAGAGGTTTTGCCTGGAAGCGTTGAATCTAGGACAGTCTTGGAGGATGTGATCTGTTGTCTCAGGTGCCAGTCCACAAGTACACATGGCTGATTGGCCAATCTTAAATTTGTTGTAGATATGGCAGCTAAGTCGATTGTGTCTTGTTCTAAGGCGAAGGATAATGACTTGCTCTGGTCTGTCCATAATATGGTAATCGTCTTTTGCCAGTTTCAGTGGCATTCTGATTGATTTGATCATTCTCTTTTTCTGTTGATAAGAGACTGGTATGTCGAGTTGTTCTTCATTGTACTTTCAATCAATTCTGACAAAGATGATTCCCCCATGATATGATGTCAAAACTGTCCAGCAACTTTTCTCTCGGTCTCCCTTTGCCTCTCTTCCCCTCCAACTTTCCTACAGTCACAATGTACTCCAGTTTTCTCCCTTCTCATCACATGATCAAAGAATGTAGATTCTCTCTTTCTGAAGTGGGCAGTCAGTTCTCTTCGTGAGTCATTTTCTTTCAAGAGATCCTCATTACTTTTTTTTATATGTCTAGAGTGTTCTCACCATTGGTCTAAAAAAACCCACATCTCCGCAGCTTCCAATTAGGTTTTCACTTTTCTGCCAACTGTCCAGCGTTCATTTCCGTAAACCAAGATTTGATTTATAAAGCTTTCCATAATTTTTTTATGTTTTTTCATTTTGTAAATACTGCCTTTGCTTGAGCTATTTAACATTTATCTTCTTTAACACATTTTCAATCTGATGTTATCAGGGTACCCAAGCACTTATACATATAATCACTTTCTTGAGGTTTATCACATTTACTTTGATACTGCATTTTGGAGGGTCAGTTTTCTTTGCAGTTACCATTACTTCTGTTTTTCTGCTGTTCAAAGACCCTTGTTTTCACTTTCCCTTACAGTTACATCCAGCATTTCTTGCAGCTGTGTTTCATTTTCAGCCATCAAAACTATATCGTCAACATATCGTCGCTGACACGTAGACGCATGTTTTTCCTAGATTGTGGTAATTGTCATAGAATCTGCCTTTGTTATTATCCACAGTCACGACTTCCATCTTAATCTGGATTGAAATTATATCTGCTGTGGATTTTACTTTCAACCAAGATTAAAGTTTATTCTGATGCAAGTATTATCCTCAATCAAATAATACCATTCAATCAGATGATGTTCCACAGCAAGATCTAAATGTATTTTCGTTTGAGAATTTTTATGATAACGATTTTCCCCATCTTTCTGTTGTTATTTCTTATTGCGATGTAGTTTCTTTGATGGCGCCAGGGCTCTATTTATAATCTCTATGGTATTTTTAGGTGCGGTCTGAGGATAACAAAAATAGCAGAGATTTAAGATGATGTATAACAAATAATTGTTCGTAATTACAAAATATCAGTGTTTTAATATTTTTAATTCGTGTGCCCTAGGCCGATGTGACAATGGGTAGCTGATAAACGTGCGGTTAAAGAAAGTGACAAAGCACTGTGGAATCCACGTCCAACTGGAGATCTGTAGGGTTCTTGTCAGGGACATACATAAACAGCGGCTGATAAGAGGGATGTCATGAATGGCTCAGGCAGAAGACACAGTCTGACAGGTTTGCATCCTTAAGAACATTAGGCGAGGAGAGAAGTTGGTTAATGTGCAGCCTGAACAGTCAGACTTGTGTAGGCTCACAATTATACTGAGCCGGGAGTGCAGGGACTGGCCAGCAGGTGCCACGTAGGTGGAAATTCAGCAATTAATTCAAGATAATGCTCGCTCTTAGGATTTGATTATTTGCATACACGGTTCAATGTCAAAAGGCAAAAGAAATGCTTGGGGTTTCTTAGCAAAAGTTTCTTAGTCGACGTTTGATGCAGAAGAGCCTTGCATATGATACCACAACTGACAGCTTAAGAATGGAGGTGGAGGCCAACTTATGGCCAACTTATTGTGACCGACTACTTCCGACAACGACCAACTACATTTCTGGTTGCGACTGTTGGCTTTGGCGCCTCTAGCAACTCAGATATGCATTTACTGTGCGCCCTTATTTCTGGACTATTCCGGGACTAATTGTTTGTTCAGCAGTTTTTCCAATACTAAAGTTAGGAAAATTTCTTTTGATTTTCACGGGCACAGGAACGAAGCAAGTATGGGGAAACCCGATTACAGTGAAGTTAAAACCTCGATTAAGACTAAGACTTGATGTGATGTTTCAGATAGAGGGAAATAGTAAGTAATTAATTACACGTTGTTTAGGACTGAAAGGGTTAGTTAGTATGATGATTAGGATAATGATGGGGGTAACGCTGATTACTATGAGGATTTTGAGGATGAAAATGCTGGTAATGATGATTACCATGAGGATTTTGACCATGATAATGGTTATTAATATGGTGTTGATAATTATGAGGATAATGGTGATGGTGATCAGAATAATTGTGTTAATAGCGATGATGACGATAAGGGTGTGACGATAAACGATCAAAATGATCATACATATGATGATGACAGTGATGATTACAAATAACGAGGAACAGGGCAATGATTATGATCAGACGAAAAATGTGAAGATGAGGAAAATGACCTTGATCGTAAATGAATAAATGAATGAATTAAGAAGTGACATCCCTGAACTCCGGACATCAACACATGTGCTCCGTCGCCATCTTCAGTAGTCAATGAAAAGTCGACATGCTAAAAGTACCCGTCGAAACCTGATTCAAATGTCGCCTATGTTTTCCCTTCAGTGTTGAAAATCTCCCAGAACCTCTAGTCGACCCCCGCTGAATAAGTGTTTCGGTTCTTTATTAATATCCTACCCCAGATGACGTCACAGAACAGTCTAACATTTTAGAGTGTGGTAAGACTGGGTTTCCTAGCTTTTTGGTCATCTTAACGACCCCAAAACATCTAGAACTGGCCCTAACACCCAAAACATTTAGAACTAGCCCTAACCCCCAACCCACCTACGTCTTCATACAGTCTAGGTCCCACGACTGCATGCATCCTATCTGCCAACCCTTGAAATATTAGACTGTCCCGGGACTTGTGGATTTCTCCTGTTTGGGGTAGGATATTAATTAAGCACCAGTCTTTCAGTGTATGGATTCTCTTTTTTATCGCACTGTCCATTTAATAACAGAGAGCTTCATCACGTCCGCTTTATCATAAAGTACCTCACCGCCCAGAGGAGCGACAGCAGCTAATCTATTAGCCTGCTCGTTACCTCGCACACCTTGACGATGAGATGGCGACGAAGATGAATAATTCATTGATAATTGCGACGATTATCGCAGCGATGAAAATGAAAGGTGAAACTATAGGGAACTAACATGAATAATGTTACAAGATGTTCTAATCGACGGAACAGTGGATTTCACCGCAAGACGAGGCACTACCACAAGATAATAAGTAACACATGTGATATTTACTTGTTAATACCAAGAGGGGCGAAAGGAGGAAAAAGAAAACCAGGAGAAGGGATAGAGCGAGTGCATGTGTCTATATATATATATATATATATATATATATATATATATATATATATATATATATATATATATATGTGTGTGTGTGTGTGTGTGTGTATGTGTGTGAAGCGTAAAAATATGTTCTCTGATAAGGATAGAGAATCTATTTTTATATGTCTGTTAGTTAGCCGTGGTTGTAAAATCACTGTCGATGTGTCACTCATAGTTGTTCTTCCTCTGTGCCAGTGGAAATCGCATAAACTGTCCTTCACTGTCCGACTTTAAAACAAGTGAAAAGCATGTCCGCCCTGGAAAGCTTGCACTCACAAAGTGAACATGCATAAGGCAGCTGTAAGATGTGCGAACACTAACGGTCCCACACCAGATATGCAGCTGACGCCTGTCTGAAATTGACAATCAAGAAGACCAGCATTTTATCCCGCAAAGGTACATGTCATTATAAACGCAGTCAGCCCCGGGCATTTTAGTGCAGTTAACACGTGGCGGATACAAGTAAGAAAACATTTCCCACGAAATCCACAACTCACAGTGTCGCACCAAGCACTCAGCTTAGTAGTTGGGCGAAGGATTATTTGTGTGTGTGGGGGGGGGGGGGTGGAGGGGGACTGAGAAAGAAAGAGGTAGAATAACGTGCATATTTTAATATGTAGTCAAACAGATAGAAACACAAACGCAGACAGGCAATCTACAATGTGTAGGCAAACCTTACCAATAAAATTTCTGTCATATTTAAGGAGACATTGATCCACGTGTAGAGTATCTCCTGGCGAACGCTGTTTACGGTGTATTTAACTGAGTTCAAGCCCTCCACGTCCTGTCGGTTCTTGCAGTCCCCAATGAGAGCTGATCTGTGAATAAAGCAACCATATATATATTAGGGTTGTACTGAATAGCGATTTTTACTATTCGGCCGAATACGAATAACAGGACCAACTATTCGGCCGAATACGAATACGAATAGTGCATCATCATCATCGTCAGATACCTTGCCGACTGGCGTGGGCGATTATGCCTCGCCACAATCTGCGATCTCCTGCAGCATGGATTAGTTCGTGTGTTGACACACCTCCATGCCATGCAACAACACTGTCAATAATCTTCTCTAGTTTTCTTCCTCTATCCTTCCTTCCACAGATCTTTTCAGTGGACACCACATGTTCCATTTTCCCTCCTCTCATAACATAGGCCGAAAAATTATGACTGTCTCCTTCTGATGTCTGTGATAAGTTGTCTTCGGGCTTCCGCCTCTTTCAAAACCTCTTGGTTGCTTTGTGTGGCTATCCAAGGTATTGCATTGTTCTGTAAAACTACATCTCTGTGGCCTCAAGGAATTGTTTATTTTTACAGCAGCTCATCTCCTAGAGAAGAGACAGCAGCTAATCTATCAGCCTGCTCGTTACCTCGCACACCTTGATAATGAGTGGGTGAAGAAGATGAATAGTTTATTGATAATTGCGACAATTATCATATCGATAAAAATGCAAGTTAAAACTATAAGGAACTAACATAAATAATTTTGCAAGAAATCCTAGTCGACGGAACACCACAAAACAAAAGCTTGCAGTCACAAATGAGAGCTGATCAAAGGATACGGCAACTATATACATATAATTTTGCTTTATGTGGTCTCGAGGCATGTTGTCCACCTTGAATGCTAGAGGTCCCAGTTCAAGCCCCGGTGAAGGCTGGTATTTTTTCACGTTTACTTCTAATAATTTACCCTGGTCTCTTGGTAGTAAGACCAGACGCCCGTGTGTACTGGTGTACGCGTAAAAAAATCTCTTGGCAGTTAGAAATCAAAAAGAGTAGCCTAACCGCTGCCCAGGCTAAATTTTGAGTTAAAAATCTACCCAAAGTGTTTCAGGATCCTCGCTGGTGCAACAGAGTTCGTGCATTGATCAGACACAGGCTTGAATTTGAAGAGGAACGGAGCACTTATGGGTTACACCCATGTGCTATGATGTTTATCCGTTGAATAAAAAAAAAAAAAACACATACACACACATATATATATATATGTGTGTGTATGTGAGTGTGTCTGCGTGCGTGCGTGTGTGTGTCTGTGTGTGTGTGTGTGCGTGCGTGCTTGCGATCCTGTGTGTGTGTGTGTGTGTGTATGTGTGTGCCCCATAGAGTGGTGTCAATACATAAACTCATACACGCAGATCGCAGATTTGGAGAAACACCATCTCCCACACTAGGGGCGTCAAGGCAACCCTGCTATTTTCTGTACACTTTCATATACGCGGACAGAATGTTTAAATGAGGACAGTTTTCAGTAAAACTGGGTTAAGTATCTTCCCAAGACAGTCCTTTTTTTACCCACAAAGCCTAACAATTCTCACCGACAACCGTGGTGATCACGTGCAATTTCGTTTGCTGAGCAAATATTTACATTTTTGATTTATTTGAACTTCCGTACAGCATAACAGGTAAAGTAATCTCCCTGTCTGACATTTCTCATGCAATTGCGACTGTTCGTGAAACATAGTTCACGCTTCGTTGGTTTATCAATCAGCAGACAGGGTTGTTTCATTGCTTGAAAGAAACCCATACCAACGAGAAGTAGTCGTGACACCTTACAAAGAATAAGGGCTGTGGCGTGGTTTCAAGTGGTTTATCTATCCCTGACAGGGGCTGCGTGGTCTCAAGGCATGGTGTCCGACTCCATGCTATAGGGCTGGATTTTTCCCCGTGGACAGGGACTTCTAGCAATTCCACCGGTCTCTGGGTAGGGAAATCGTACGCCCGTGTGCATTGTTGCGC